CAAAGGAAGGTATGATGTCATTATCATTGGACAGTCCAACATCTGTTGAAAGTCTGACATCATAGAAAAGTCTAACATCACAAGAAAGCCTGACGTCACAAGAAAGCATGACATCATAAAAAAGCTTGACATCACAAGAAAGCATGACATCACAAGAAAGCCTGACATCACAAGAACGCATAACATCACAAGAAAGCCTGACATCACAAGAAAACATGACATCACAAGAAAACCTGACATCACAAGAAAGCATGACATTATAAGAAAGTATGACATCCCAAGAAAGCCTGACATCACAAGAAAACATGACATCACAAGAAAGCATGACAGCACAAGAAAACATGACATCACAAGAAAGCATGACATCACAAGAAAGCATGACATCACAAGAAAGCCTGACATCACAAGAAAGCATGACATCACAAGAAAGCATGACATCACAAGAAAGCATGACATCACAAGAAAGCATGACATCACAAGAAAGCATGACATCACAAGAAAGCATGACATCACAAGAAAGCATGACATCACAAGAAAGCATGACATCCCAAGAAAGCCTGACATCACAAGAAAACCTGACATCACAAGAAAGCATGACATCACAAGAAAACATGACATCACAAGAAAGCATGACATCACAAGAAAGCATGACATCACAAAAAAGCATGACATCACAAGAAAGCATGACATCACAAGAAAACCTGACATCACAAGAAAAACTGACATCACAAGAAAGCATGACATCACAAGAAAGTATGACATCACAGCGTTCTAATAAAATGTTCGAATGTATGTATGTATGTATGTATGTATGTATGTATGTATGTATGTATGTATGTATGTATGTATGTATGTATGTATGTATGTATGTATGTATGTATGTATGTATGTATGTATGTATGTATGTATGTATGTATGTATGTATGTATGTATGTATGTATGTATGTATGTATGTATGTATGTATGTATGTATGTATGTATGTATGTATGTATGTATGTATGTATGTATGTATGTATGTATGTATGTATGTATGTATGTATGTATGTATGTATGTATGTATGTATGTATGTATGTATGTATGTATGTATATGTATGTATGTATGTATGTATGTATGTATGTATGTATGTATGTATGTATGTATGTATGTATGTATGTATGTATGTATGTATGTATGTATGTATGTATGTATGTATGTATGTATGTATGTATGTATGTATGTATGTATGTATGTATGTATGTATGTATGTATGTATGTATGTATGTATGTATGTATGTGTATGTATGTATGTATGTATGTATGTATGTATGTATGTATGTATGTATGTATGTATGTATGTATGTATGTATGTATGTATGTATGTATGTATGTATGTATGTATGTATGTATGTATGTATGTATGTATGTATGTATGTATGTATGTATGTATGTATGTGTGTGTGTGTGTGTGTGTGTGTGTGTGTGTGTGTGTGTGTGTGTGTGTGTGTGTGTGTGTATGTATGTATGTATGTATGTATGTATGTATGTATGTATGTATGTATGTATGTATGTATGTATGTATGTATGTATGTATGTATGTATGTATGTATGTATGTGTGTGTGTGTGTGTGTGTGTGTGTGTATGTATGTGTATGTATGTGTGTGTGTGTGTATGTATGTATGTATGTATGTATGTATGTATGTATGTATGTATGTATGTATGTATGTATGTATGTATGTATGTATGTATGTATGTATGTATGTATGTGTGTACTGGGTGCGTATGTGTTTGTGTGTAAGTGAGTGAATGGGTTTATGTGTGTATGTGGGTGTGTGTATTCGCGCGTGAGCGTGCGCACATATTTTACCAGCCATGCTTTTGTTTTTGACTTCATATCCATAATATGCATATTATTACATGAATATAACATGCTTCATTGATGAAATACAACTGCTGTGTGAAAGATGGAAGTTTGGAAGGGCCGAATGTAAGACAGGCCTGCGTGCCTAATTTGTAACCCTTTGAAAATAAATTTCGTTCGTTCGTTTACTTTGCTTGGAGAGATCTTGCTAGCTGTGAACTAGAAACTGACGTCATAACCCACATGTCAGTCCACTTGTATCCACGCAGTGGGTGAGCGGGTCCACTTGTATCCACACTGTGGGTGAGCGGGTCCACTTGTATCCACACAGTGGGTGAGCGGGTTCACTTGTATCCACGCAGTGGGTGAGTGGGTCCACTTGTATCCACACAGTGAGTGAGCGGGTCCACTTGTATCCACGCAGTGGGTGAGCGGGTCCACTTGTATCCACACAGTGAGTGAGCGGGTCCACTTGTATCCACACAGTGAGTGAGCGGGTCCACTTGTATCCACACTGTGGGTGAGCGGAAAGAGAGGCTTGACGTTAAACAGAGCTGACCGTGCTAACGAAGGCTATATCCGACCAAGAAGTCGATTATTGAAGCGTACATTCATTGAGACAATAAGTCTTCAATGCAGATATTATAAACCAATAACCAGGGCTATAATCAAGTCAGACACAACACCCTTTGATAAATTGTCGCCATTTCTGTAACAGTAGACACAGCCAGGACAGAGTATGACGCGGAATCAAGATAACATGGTCGCCCGCGCCAGGCGGGAAGCTTAACGTCTGACAGCCGTGGAGAACTGGAGATGGAAGCCGAGTGCACACATGTAGGATCGGCGATAACTCGGGGTCGGATGTTATCTGAACCGGTCCCATCCCGGGTGGATTACGATAGAGGTGAAGTAACGACTCACTCCTGGCACCGGTAAATATCTCGACATGTTGAACCGTTTTTGCTTGTTCATGTATATTCTTATAAACATTTTAAGGATCTATTTGGATGTTTATTGGCTCTGAACTCTATAGATTGTTTTCTGGTGCTCTGGACTGAAGAACTACCGACTGGTTTTAGGTATTTGCACTACTAGTTGGTTATAGGTACCTTGCACTGAAGAACTAACTACCAGATAGTTATAGGTACCTTGCACTGAAGAACTAACTACCAGATAGTTATAGGTACCTTGCACTGAAGAACTAACTACCAGATAGTTATAGGTACCTTGCTTTGAAGAACTACCAGCTGGTTATAGATACCTTGCTTTGAAGAACTACCAGTTGGTTATGGGTACGTTTCCTTGCACTATTGACTTACAGTCGGTCATAGAGACTAGTGACTGACAGTTGGTCGTGGAGACTGCTGACTGACAGTTGGTCGTGGAGACTGCTGACTGACAGTTGGTCGTGGAGACTGCTGACTGACAGTTGGTCTTGGAGACTGCTGACTGACAGTTGGTCGTGGAGACTGCTGACTGACAGTTGGTCGTGGAGACTGCTGACTGACAGTTGGTCGTGGAGACTGCTGACTGACAGTTGGTCGTGGAGACTAGTGACTGACAGTTGGTCATGGAGACTAGTGACTGACAGTTGGTCATGGAGACTAGTGACTGACAGTTGGTCATGGAGACTAGTGACTGACAGTTGGTCATGGAGACTAGTGACTGACAGTTGGTCATGGAGACTAGTGACTGACAGTTGGTCATGGAGACTAGTGACTGACAGTTGGTCATGGAGACTAGTGACTGACAGTTGGTCATGGAGACTAGTGACTGACAGTTGGTCATGGAGACTAGTGACTGACAGTTGGTCATGGAGACTAGTGACTGACAGTTGGTCATGGAGACTAGTGACTGACAGTTGGTCATGGAGACTAGTGACTGACAGTTGGTCATGGAGACTAGTGACTGACAGTTGGTCATGGAGACTAGTGACTGACAGTTAGTCATGGAGACTAGTGACTGACAGTTGGTCATGGAGACTAGTGACTGACAGTTGGTCATGGAGACTAGTGACTGACAGTTAGTCATGGAGACTAGTGACTGACAGTTGGTCATGGAAACTGCTGACTGACAGTTGGTCGTGGAGACTGCTGACTGACAGTTGGTCGTGGAGACTGCTGACTGACAGTTGGTCGTGGAGACTGCTGACTGACAGTCGGTCGTGGAGACTAGTGACTGACAGTCGGTCAAGGAGACTAGTGACTGACAGTCGGTCGTGGAGACTAGTGACTGACAGTTAGTCATGGAGACTAGTGACTGACAGTTAGTCATGGAGACTAGTGACTGACAGTTGGTCGCGGAGACTAGTGACTGACAGTTGGTCGCGGAGACTAGTGACTGACAGTTAGTCATGGAGTCTAGTGACTGACAGTTAGTCATGGAGACTAGTGACTGACAGTTAGTCATGGAGACTAGTGACTGACAGTTGGTCATGGAGACTAGTGACTGACAGTTGGTCATGGAGACTAGTGACTGACAGTTGGTCATGGAGACTAGTGACTGACAGTTGGTCATGGAGACTAGTGACTGACAGTTAGTCATGGAGACTATTGACTGACAGTTAGTCATGGAGACTAGTGACTGACAGTTGGTCATGGAGACTAGTGACTGACAGTTAGTCATGGAGACTAGTGACTGACAGTTGGTCATGGAGACTAGTGACTGACAGTTAGTCATAGAGACTAGTGACTGACAGTTAGTCATGGAGACTAGTGACTGACAGTTAGTCATGGAGACTAGTGACTGACAGTCGGTCATGGAGACTAGTGACTGACAGTCGGTCATGGAGACTAGTGACTGACAGTTGGTCATAGCGACTGCTGACTGACAGTTGGTCGTGGAGACTAGTGACTGACAGTTGGTCATGGAGACTAGTGACTGACAGTTGGTCATGGAGACTAGTGACTGACAGTTCGTCATGGAGACTAGTGACTGACAGTTGGTCATGGAGACTAGTGACTGACAGTTGGTCATGGAGACTAGTGACTGACAGTTGGTCATGGAGACTAGTGACTGACAGTTGGTCATGGAGACTAGTGACTGACAGTTGGTCATGGAGACTAGTGACTGACAGTTGGTCATGGAGACTAGTGACTGACAGTTGGTCATGGAGACTAGTGACTGACAGTTGGTCATGGAGACTAGTGACATGGACTAGTTGGTCATGGAGACTAGTGACTGACAGTTAGTCATGGAGACTAGTGACTGACAGTTGGTCATGGAGACTAGTGACTGACAGTTGGTCATGGAGACTAGTGACTGACAGTTGGTCATGGAGACTAGTGACTGACAGTTGGTCATGGAGACTAGTGACTGACAGTTGGTCATGGAGACTAGTGACTGACAGTTGGTCATGGAGACTAGTGACTGACAGTTGGTCATGGAGACTAGTGACTGACAGTTAGTCGTGGAGACTAGTGACTGACAGTTAGTCATGGAGACTAGTGACTGACAGTTGGTCGTGGAGACTGCTGACTGACAGTTGGTCGTGGAGACTGCTGACTCACAGTTGGTCGTGGAGACTGCTGACTGACAGTTGGTCGTGGAGACTAGTGACTGACAGTTGGTCGTGGAGACTAGTGACTGACAGTTGGTCGTGGAGACTAGTGACTGACAGTTGGTCATGGAGACTAGTGACTGACAGTTGGTCATGGAGACTAGTGACTGACAGTTGGTTATGGAGACTAGTGACTGACAGTTGGTCATGGAGACTAGTGACTGACAGTTGGTCATGGAGACTAGTGACTGACAGTTGGTCATGGAGACTAGTGACTGACAGTTAGTCATGGAGACTAGTGACTGACAGTTGGTCATGGAGACTAGTGACTGACAGTTGGTCATGGAGACTAGTGACTGACAGTTGGTCATGGAGACTAGTGACTGACAGTTGGTCATGGAGACTATTGACTTACAGTCGGTCATAGAGACTAGTGACTGACAGTTGGTCATGGAGACTAGTGACTGACAGTTGGTCATGGAGGCTAGTGACTGACAGTTGTTCATGGAGACTAGTGACTGACAGTTGGTCATGGAGACTGCTGAGTGACAGTTGGTCATGGAGACTGCTGAGTGACAGTTGGTCATTGTGACTGCTGAGTGACAATTGGTCATGGAGACTGCTGAATGACAGTCGGTCATGGACCAACAGGCAGAGTCTGCCTTTCAATTATAAATCGGAAGGTGTCCACTGTTTATTTTTGATTTGCTAGCCAAGGAACCGTCAATAGAAAAATGTTTAGGCTAAAAACCGAAGACAGACAATGTGACTAGTGTTTAGGCAGCTGGTTTTTATGACATGACTAGGCCACAAACATCGACCTCATTTGAGACAGGTTCTCCTCGGAGATAGCAAACTCTGATCAGCCTGTCTTTGTGTGTGTGTGTCTTTGTGTGTGTGCCTTTGTGTGTTTCTTTGTGTGTGTGTGTGTCTTTGTGTGCGTGTGTCTTCGTGTGTGTGTGTCTTTGTGTATGTGTGTCTTTGTGTGTCTTTGTTGTCTTTGTGTGTCTTTGTGTGTGTCTTTGTGTGTGTGTCTTTGTGTGTGTGTGTCTTTGTGTATGTGTCTTTGTGTGTGTGTCTTTTGTGTGTGCGTGTCTTTGTGTGTGTGTGTCTTTGTGTGTGCGTGTCTTTGTGTGTGTGTGTCTTTGTGTGTGCGTGTCTTTGTGTGTGTGTGTCTTTGTGTGTGCGTGTCTTTGTGTGTGTGTGTCTTTGTGTGTGCGTGTCTTTGTGTGTATGTGTGTCTTTGTGTTTGTGTCTTAGTGTGTATTTGTGTCTTTGTGTGTGTGTGTCTTTGTGTGTATGTGTCTTTGTGTGTTTTCTTTATGTGTGTGTGTGTGTGTGTGTGTTTGTCCACAGTTCAGTATCCAGTGTTCAATATCCAGTGTTCAATATCCAGTGTTTAATATTCATTATTTAATATCCTGTGCAATGTCCAGTGTTCAATATCTAATGTTCAATATCCAGAGTTCAATGTCCAGTGTTCAATATCCAGTGTTAAATATTTAGTGTGTGTGTCCTGTGTTCAGTATTTATTGTTCAATATCCAGTGCTCAATATCCAGCGTTCAATATCCAGTGTGTGTGTCCGGTTTTCAATATTCATTGTTCAATATCCAGTGTTCAAAATCCAGTGTTCAATATCCATTGTTTAATATCTAGTGTTCAGTCCAGTGTTCGATATCCAGTATTCAGTATCCAGTGTTCAATGTCCAGTGTTCGATGTCCAGTGTTCAATATCCAGTGTTCAATGTCCAGTATTCAATATCCAGTGTGTCCAGTGTTCGATATCCAGTATTCAGTATCCAGTGTTCAATGTCCAGTGTTCAATGTCCAGTATTCAATATCCAGTGTTCAATGTCCAGAGTTGAAGGTCCAGTGTTTAATATCCAGTGTTCAATATCCAGTGTTCAATATCCAGTGTTTAATATCCAGTGTTCAATATCCAGTGTTGAATATCCAGTGTTCAATATCCAGTGTTTAATGTCCAGTGTTGAAAGTCCCTGCGTGCTCATTCAGGCGATCACAAAACGTCGGCCAATGATGCCATCTGTCTCTGCAGCAGGCAGAAGTCTGAGGCGACTGCTGGGGTCAGATGATGGCGGCTGTCGTGGTCGGCAAGACAAATGTGCTCAATAACATGCTCCTGTAAACTCCGTCGTTTCCACGTTCTCAACCCACCCAGGGGGAAATCTCAACCTTACATTATGTCATGGGTAGGAAACGAAGACGGGGGTGGGTGGGGTGGCTGTCAAATGAGGGGGGGGGGAGGTAGAGGAGGCACGCTGTCAAATGTTACATATCTGTTTGGATGGAAAAAGGGGTGGGGGACTGTCAACTGTGGCAATCTCTTGGGGTATGGAAAGGGGGGGGCGCTTTTAAATGTGTGGCATATCTCTTGGAGCGAGAGAACTTTCAAATATGTGACATACCTCTTGGGGAGAACTGTCAGGGGTGCTTTTGGAAGCGAGAGAACTTTCAAATGTGTAGCATATCTCTTGGAGCGAGTCAAATGTAACTTTCAAGTGGGATGTCAAATATGTGCCTCTTGGAGCAAGAGAACTGTCAGATGTGTGGCATATCTCTTGGAGCGAGAGAACTGTCAAATGTGTGGTATATCTCTTGGAGCGAGAGAACTGTCAAATGTGTGGTAAATCTCTTGGAGCGAGAGAACTTTTAAATGTGTGGCATATCTCTTGGAGCGAGAGAATTTTCATAAGTGTGGCATATCTCTTGGAGCGAGAGAACTGTCAAATGTGTGGTATATCTCTTGGAGCGAGAGAATTGTCAAATGTGTGACATATCTCTTGGAGCGAGAGAACTGTCAAGTATGTGACATATCTCTTGGAGCGAGAGAACTGTCATAAATATCTGTTGGAGCAAGAGATCTCTGTGTGGTATATCTCTTGGAGCGAGAGACATATGTGTGGCTTTCTTGGAAGAGAATTTTCATAAGTGTGGCATATCTCTTGGAGCGAGAGAACATTCAAATGTGTAGCATATTTGTTGGAGCGAGAGAACTTTCAAATGTGTGGCATATCTCTTGGAGCGAGAGAACTTTCAAATGTGTAGCATATATCTTGGAACGAGAGAACTGTCATGTATGTGACATATCTCTTGAAGCGAGAGAACTTTCAAATGTGTAGCATATCTCTTGAAGCGAGAGAACTGTCAAGTATGTGACATATCTCTTGGAGCGAGAGAACTGCCAGGTATGTGACATATCTCATTGGGCGGGGGAACTGTCAAATGTGTGACATATCTCTTGGAGCGGCAGAACTGTCAAGTATGTGACATATCTCTTGGGACGGGAGAACTTTCAATTGTTTGACATATCTCTTGAGGCAATAGCGCTGTCAAATATATGGAACATATCTGGGGAGCTGCCCTAATTGTCAAATGTGTGACATATTTCTTGGGAGGCTACGTGAAGGACATGTCACTAGCGTACAAATTCACACATCCCCTCATGCACATATGCTGTCTCAAGTCTAGTGTCTACCCAGGATGTCCCATTTACTAGTGTCTACCCAGGATGTCCCATTTACTATTGACTACCCAGGATGTCCCATTTACTAGTGTCTACCCAGGATGTCCCATTTACTAGTGTCTACCCAGGATGTCCCATTTACTAGTGTCTACCCAGGATGTCCCTTTTACTAGTGTCTACCCAGGATGTCCCATTTACTAGTGTCTACCCAGGATGTCCCACAGACTAGTGTCTACCCAGGATGTCCCACAGACTAGTGACTACCCAGGATGTCCCACAGACTAGTGTCTACCCAGGATGTCCCACAGACTAGTGACTACCCAGGATGTCCCATTTACTAGTGTCTACCCAGGATGTCCCACAGACTAGTGTCTACCCAGGATGTCCCATTTACTAGTGTCTACCCAGTATGTCCCACAGACTAGTGTCTACCCAGGATGTCCCATTTACTAGTGTCTACCCAGGATGTCCCATTTACTAGTGTCTACCCAGGATGTCCCATTTACTAGTGTCTACCCAGGATGTCCCATTTACTAGTGTCTACCCAGGATGTCCCACAGACTAGTGTCTACCCAGGATGTCCCACAGACTAGTGACTACCCAGGATGTCCCACAGACTAGTGTCTACCCAGGATGTCCCACAGACTAGTGACTACCCAGGATGTCCCATTTACTAGTGTCTACCCAGGATGTCCCACAGACTAGTGTCTACCCAGGATGTCCCATTTACTAGTGTCTACCCAGTATGTCCCACAGACTAGTGTCTACCCAGGATGTCCCATTTACTAGTGTCTACCCAGGATGTCCCACAGACTAGTGTCTACCCAGGGTGTCCCATTTACTAGTGTCTACCCAGGATGTCCCACAGACTAGTGTCTACCCAGGATGTCCCACAGATTAGTGTCTACCCAGGATGTCCAATTTACTAGTGTCTACCCAGGATGTCCCACAGACTAGTGTCTACCCAGGATGTCCCATTTACTAGTGTCTACCCAGGATGTCCCATTTACTAGTGTCTACCCAGGATGTCCCACAGACTAGTGACTACCCAGGATGTGCCATTTACTAGTGTCTACCCAGGATGTCCCACAGACTAGTGACTACCCAGGATGTCCCATTTACTAGTGTCTACCCAGGATGTCCCATTTACTAGTGTCTACCCTGAATGTCCCATTTACTAGTGTCTACCCAGGATGTCCCATTTACTAGTGTCTACCCTGGATGTCCCATTTACTAGTGTCTACCCAGGATGTCCCACAGACTAGTGTCTACCCAGGATGTCCCGTTTACTAGTGTCTACCCAGGATGTCCCATTTACTAGCGTCTACCCAGAATGTCCCACAGACTAGTGTCTACCCAGGATCTCCCACAGACTAGTGTCTACCCAGGATTTCCCACAGACTAGTGACTACCCAGGATGTCCCACAGACTAGTGTCTACCCAGGATTTCCCACAGACTAGTGACTACCCAGGATGTCCCATATCTAGTGTCTACCCAGGATGTCCCAGAGACTAGTGACTACCCAGGATGTCCCACATCTAGTGTCTACCCAGGATCTCCCACAGACTAGTGTCTACCCAGGATGTCCCGCAGACTAGTGTCTACCCAGGATGTCCCGCAGACTAATGTCTACCCAGGATGTCCCACAGACTAGTGTCTACCCAGGATGTCCCACAGAGTAGTATCTTTCTAGAATGTTCCACAGACTATCGTTTGCTCTGGGTATTTACAATCCATTACCTTCTTATTTTTAAAGATTGAAGTAACTCTGTGTGCATGCGTGTGTGTGTGTGTGTGTGTGTGTGTGTGTGTGCGCGCACGTGCGAGAGAGAGAGAGAGAGAGAGAGAGAGAGAGAGAGAGAGAGAGAGAGAGTTGGAGAGAGAGATAAAGGAGAGAGAGAAGATGAACTAAACCAGGTTTTAGAAGATGGAGAAGAGTCAGGGCGGGTGAATATCTGTAACCAGATGCTGCTTCTTGTCTGAGTTAATGAAGTCTGTCTTCGACACTTAGAGAAGGAAGGCGGGAGTGGAGGGCGGGAAGTGGAGTCTGTCAACTAGCGGGGAGCGGGTAATTTATGACTGGGTGTGAACAGGTGGGCGGTGCAGCTCTCGGCAGGTGGCCGTCGCTTGAGACCAAGGAATGCTCACCTTTTCGTTTTAGAATTCATTCTAACAATTATCGTCGCAGACTATTGAACAACCCTCATTACTGTGCACATTAGGTATCATTACAAACTTTTATAAACTTCCTCGTCGCTGGAGCTACGGATTTTTTCCTGGGATCTGATGCTACAGCATCTACAAGGCGTGTGTGTGTGTGTGTGTGTGTGTGTGTGTGTGTGTATGTCAGGGTAATTTCTGTGTGTGTGTATGTCAGGTTAATTTCTGTGTGTGCATGTGTATGTCAGGATAATTTCTGTATGTGTGTGTGTGTGTGTGTATGTCAGGGTAATTTATGTGTGTGTGTGTATGTCAGGATAATTTCTCAGTGTGTGTGTATGTCAGGGTAATTTCTGTGTGTGTGTGTGTGTGTGTGAGGTTTATGTGTCAGTTTCTGTGTGTGTATGTATCAGGGTAATTTTCTGTATGTGTGTGTATGTCAGGGTTTTTCTGTGTGTGTGTATGTCAGGGTAATTTATGTGTGTGTGTGTGTGTATGTCAGGGTAATTTATGTCTGTGTGTGTATGTCAGGGTAATTTATGTGTGTGTGTCAAGGACTTGTGCGTGTGTGTGTGTGTTGTGGTGTGTTTCTGTCTGTGTGTGTGCGTGCGTGGTGTGTGTGCGTGTGTGCGTGTGTGTGTGTGTAAGGTTATTTCGCTGTGTGTGTGTGTTTAGGTGTGTTTCGTGTGTGTGTGTGTTTTAGGGATATTTATGTCTGTGTGTGTGTTTTAAGGTTATTTCTGTCTGTGTGTGTGTTTTAGGGATATTTCTGTCTGTGTGTGTGTTTTAGGGATATTTATGCCTGTGTGTGTGTTTTAAGGTTATTTCTGTCTGTGTGTGCGTGTCAAGGTGTGTTTCTGTGTCAAGTGAATTTATGTGTGTATCAAGGTTATTTCTGTCTGTGTGTGCGTGTCAAGGTTATTTCTGTGTGTGTGTGTATGTCATATTTCTGTTTGTGTGTGTGTTTTAGTGATATTTCTGTCTGTGTGTGTGTTTTAAGGTTATTTCTGTCTGTGTGTGCGTGTCAAGGTTATTTCTGTCTGTGTGTGTGTGTCAAGGTTATTTCTGTCTGTGTGTGCGTGTCAAGGTTATTTCTGTCTGTGTGTGTATGTCAAGATTTTGCCTGTGTGTGCGTGTCAAGGTTTTGCCTGTGTGTGTGTCAAGGTTTTGCCTGTGTGCGTGTCAAGGTTTTGCCTGTGTGCGTGTCAAGGTTTTGCCTGTGTACGTACGTGTCAAGGTTTTGCCTGTGTGTTCGTGTTAAGGTTTTGCCTGCGTGTGCGTGTCAAGGTTTTGCCTGTGTGTGTGTGTCTAGGTTTTGCCTGTGTGCGTATGTCAAGGTTTTGCCTGTGTGCGTATGTCAAAGTTTTGCCTGTGTGCGTGTCTAGGTTTTGCCTGTGTGCGTATGTCAAGGTTTTGCCTGTGTGCGCAAAACGATATTCATGTTGAAGAGAGTGTCTGTGGCTTTGACTGGAAGTTTGGCTTCAGCTGAACCTCTTGTCTTAGATCCTGTCAACCCGTGAGGTTTAAGCAACCAACCAATAAATAGGAGTAGTACACAATCACGCACAGTAACTGTAGGAATAGTGCACAATCACACACAGCTAACTGTAGGAGTACTGCACAATCACACGCAGGTAACAGAACACATACAAATACCGATGAAGGTGTTTTACAGTAAATACAAATAAAGACCGCCGTAATTATGTCAACAATGAAATCAGATCGCCTAAGCGCCGGAGTGTGACACAGTCATTATCTCAGTAATCATTGATGAGCCTCGGGAAGTAGGCCCTGCTAGCATGTGTGGTCTACATCATGGATTCACTGCAATCATGGCAGGTCTTAATCAGGAACTCAATCATCGATGGTCTACCTAGATTCCAACAATACTGCAATCTACAATCGTGGTGCTATATCCCAATCCAATGCTAAATGTGCCAAATAATGGACGGGACTAACTGTAACGGCCATCTATTCACATATTTCATTTTAGTGACATAATAGGGATGTCACTAAATAGCGAACAAAGAGATGTCATTGAACAACCGAGCGAGTGATGTCTTTGAACAACCAAGACAGCGATGTCATTGAACAGCCAAGCCAGTGATGTCATTGAACAACCAAGCCAGTGATGTCATTGAACAGCCAAGCCAACGATGTCATTGAACAGCCAAGCCAACGATGTCATTGAACAGCCAAGCCAGCGATGTCATTGAACAGCCAAGCCAACGATGTCATTGAACAGCCAAGCCAACGATGTCATTAAACAACCAAGCCAGAGATGTCATTGAACAACCAAGCCAGTGATGTCATTGAACTACCAAGCCAGTGATGTCATTGAACAGCCAAGCCAACGATGTCATTGAACAGCCAAGCCAACGATGTCATTGAACAGCCAAGCCAGCGATGTCATTGAACAGCCAAGCCAACGATGTCATTGAACAGCCAAGCCAGCCAAGTCCTTAAACAGCCAAGCCAGCCATGTCATTGAACAGCCAATCCAGCCATGTCATTGAACAGCCAAGCCAGCCATGTCCTTAAACAACCAAGCCAGCCATGTCATTGAACAGCCAAGCCAGCCATGTCATTGAACAGCCAAGCCAGCCATGTCATTGAACAGCCAAGCCAGCCATGTCATTAAACAGCCAAGCCAGCCTTGTCATTAAACAGCCAAGCCAGCCATGTCATTGAACAGCCAAGCCAGCCATGTCATTGAACAGCCAAGCCAGCCATGTCCTTAAACAGCCAAGCCAGCCATGTCATTGAACAGCCAAGCCAGCCATGTCATTGAACAGCCAAGCCAGCCATGTCATTGAACAGCCAAGCCAGCCATGTCATTGAACAGCCAAGCCAGCCATGTCATTGAACAGCCAAGCCAGCCTTGTCATTAAACAGCCAAGCCAGCCATGTCATTAAACAGCCAAGCCAGCCATGTCATTGAACAGCCAAGCCAGCCATGTCATTGAACAGCCAAGCCAGCCATGTCCTTAAACAGCCAAGCCAGCCATGTCACTGACTAGAGAAGCCAGTGAACTGAATGTTTTTTACTGTGGCATCGCTAAAACACAACAATTGACAGCTGCGAGAATAACAAAAAGAAATCAAATGAAATAAATAAATTAATTAACATTCTAGGACTAAAACAGTCAGATATTCTCTATAGTGCAACAAATGAGATGTTCTGATACTTTTCCGGACATTTCTAGTCAAGTTTAGACCCAAAAAAACTATTCTAGAACAATCAGATTTTTTGCTTGTTTTTTTTAAAATTTGTTTGAGGAGGCTAAAAGTGGATGGATGAACCTTAAGTCTGTGTAGGGCAATCAAGTCTGTGGTCTGTGTAGGAACTACAAGTCTGTGTAGGAACTACAAGTCTGTGGTCTGTGTAGGAACTACAAGTCTGTGTAGGACAATCAAGTCTGTGGTCTGTGTAGGAACTACAAGTCTGTGTAGGAACTACAAGTCTGTGTAGGAACTACAAGTCTGTGTAGGAACTACAAGTCTGTGTAAGAACTACAAGTCTGTGTAGGAACTGCACGTCTGTGTAGGAACTACCAGTCTGTGTAGAAACTACAAGTCTGTGTAGGAACTATCAGTCTGTATAGGAACTACAAGTCTAAGTAGGAACTACAAGTCTGTGTAGGAACTACAAGTCTGTGGTCTGTATAAGATCTACAAGTTTGCGTAAGAACTACAAATCTGTGTAATAACTACAAGTCTGTATAGGAACTACAAGTCTGTGTTTAAGACTGAGATAGATAGCGTGCATGAAAATTCCGCTGTCTGCACCGAGACAAGGAAATATTTAACATTGATTGGGCTGAAGTGAAATATTTCATTGTTAATGCCAGAAAAATGGCGAAAGTTTGAGGAAGTCAAGAACATTACGACGGCAGGTGGGTCTCCAGGTACCGCTTATCTGGGCAGCCCACGAAAACACAAAACGGGCTGGGGCCATAAATAATAAACGGGGGTCGGGTCTAGGTTCTAGGATCCAGGTGCCTACACCCCTCCCCCCCGACCCAGCCACCAAGACCTGTGCTACCAGAAATGTAAATTTAACTAGGCAGGAGATTGCGGCCATCAGGACCTGCTATATATAGCAGGCTGGTGTACAGGAGATAAACGCAGACTTGTCACGGAGATAAATCTTCTCCAATTTATTATCTATTTCTCCGTGTTGCATGTACCCACTCCATGGCATATCTTTCTCCTCATTTGGTGTCTTTCTCCCCCAGTCATCCGTGTCTCTATCTATGTGACGGTGTTTCTTTCTGTATGTTCCGTGTTTCACTTCCATGTATGGGTTTATCTACATACTTATGTGTATGTAGCCTCTGTAGCATAGCAGCTGTGAACGCTGTTTCATAATTTCAGCATACCCGGTCGCAGCTGCAGCTGGTGTGGTAGCGAGCGATGGGGCTCCCGAACTTAAAATCGCTCCTAAAACCTCAGTGATGTCAAACCTCTGAACGTTAAATCGCCCCTAAAACCTCAATGACGACAAACTTCGTAACGTAAAAAAAGACAAGTAAAACCTCACTGATGACAAACCTTCGAACGTAAAATCGCCCAGTAAAATATCAAAGATGATGAACTTCGGAAGGTAAAATCGCCAAATAAAACCTCGAAGATGACAAGGTTCCGAACGTAAAAATCGCACAGAAAAACCTCTGCGATGACAAACTTCGGAACGTAAAATCGCCCAGTGAAAGCTCAATGATGACAAACTTCCAAGTATTTCTAAACGTTTCCAAGTATTTCTCTACATATAAAAGTATTTCTCCACATATAAAAGTATTTCTCCACAAAGTATTTCTCATATATCCGTTTTGTTCTCCACATATCCAGGTATTTCTCCAAAAATCTACTTCTCTCTCTAAATATCTATATTTTTCTCCACTTATCCACGTATTTCTCCACAAATCTACTTCTCTCTCTAAATATTTATATATTTCTCCACATATCCACGTATTTCTCCACAAATCTACTTCTCTCTCTAAATATCTATATATTTCTCCACATATCCATGTATATCCTTTGTGCCCCCCCCCCATCCCATATCCGCACATGTTTCAAAGTATATGTCTAATACAGTAAACATCGCGCACTCGTTACCACAAACACCATTTCGATCCCACTGAGCATTTGTTATTATCAGTCCCTGGTTAACAGGAATTATGTTTAACATTAACTTTCGGATTGTGTTTTTGGGTCACTGGGAATTCAGGTTAACTAGGTTTGACTGTTTATGGAGTTATGGAAACTAGCTGTGTATGTGTGTCATGCATCACTCTTCATATCCATTCATGTTTGAATCGATTCATTCACTTCTCTGTTTAGTTTGACATTTCTTACGCCACTCATGCAGAAACTGTAACGTGGGAAAGCTAACACTTACTTGTATTATGACGCTAGCTGCGCATGCATACTCTCAACATCCAAGCGATGAGGAGGAAAATATCACATGATAACCTCTCTAGTGTAATGTTCCATGCCAACGCTTACACATGCCGATGGATCGTGCCTCACTACTGCTCTCTGTTGATTAACAACCACGATTTGTTTAGCGAAACCCTTATAAAGTATGCTGTTTTTCAAACGATGCCTAACCGGGAAGAAAAGTTGCGATATAACTGGCACCTTTCAGGGAGAAAAGTTGCGATATAACTGGCACATTCCGGGGAGACAAGTTGCCATATAACTGGCATATTCCGGGGAGACAAGTTGCCATATAACTGGCATATTCCGGGGAGACAAGTTGCCATACAATTAGCACATTTCGGGGAGAAAAGTTGCCATATAACTGGCACATTCCGGGGAGAATAGTTGCCATATAACTGGCACATTTCGGGGGAGGTAAAGCAGAATCACCAAACAGGCGCTGAGAATGGAAACAAATGAATTGATGAAAAAAAGGTATGGAAGGATGACACACTTACCAGCGTCTCACCATAAGGCTAATAATGAGGTTATGGGTGTCGCTGCAGGGACTGTCAGTGAGGCTATCTCCCCGTGCCTCCAGCAGGGACTGTCAGTGAGGCTATCTCCCCGTGCCTCCAGCAGGGACTGTCAGTGAGGTTATCTCCCCGTGCCTCCAGCAGGGACTGTCAGTGAGGCTATCTCCCCGTGCCTCCAGCAGGGACTGTCGGTGAGACTCAGTGTCGAGGGCTATCTCCCCGTGCCTCCAGCAGGGACTGTCGATGAGACTATCTCCCGTGCCTCCAGGAAAGACTGTCGGTGTGAGGCCTCCAGCAGGGACTGTCATCTATCTTCCCCCGTGCCTCCAGCAGGGACTGTCAGTGAGGCTATCTCCCCGTGCCTCCAGGAAAGACTGTCGGTGAGGCTATCTCCCCGTGCCTCCAGCAGGGACTGTCAGTGAGGCTATCTCCCCGTGCCTCCAGCAGGGACTGTCAGTGAGGCTATCTCCCCGTGCCTCCAGCAGGGACTGTCAGTGAGGCTATCTCCTCCTCCAGTAGTGCCTATATCCTCGTGCCTCAGGGACTGTCAGTGAGGCTATCTCCCCGTGCCTCCAGCAGGGACTGTCAGTGAGGCTATCTCCCCGTGCCTCCAGCAGGGACTGTCAGTGAGGCTATCTCCCCGTGCCTCCAGCAGGGACTGTCAGTGAGGCTATCTCCCCGTGCCTCCAGCAGGGACTGTCAGTGAGGCTATCTCCCGGTGCCTCCAGCAGGGACTGTCTGTGAGGTTATCTCCTCGTGCCTCCAGCAGGGAAGTGATGCTGTCTCCCCGTGCCTCCAGGAAAGACTGTCGGTGAGGCAATCTCCCCGTGCCTGCAGCAGGGACTGTCAGTGAGTGAGGCTATCTCCTCGTGCCTCCATCAGGGACTGTCTATCTCCTCCCCGTGCCTCCAGCAGGGACTGTCAGTGAGGCTATCTCCCGTGCCTCCATCAGGGACTGTCAGTAAGGCTATCTCCCCGAGCCTCCAGCAGAGACGGAGACCTTTATCTACAACCTGAGCGCACCTGTGTGACGTCAAGTAATCTCTGGCAGGACAGACAAATGCCTGGTAAATGTCGTCCATCTCAGGTTGAAAATAGAACCACAGCGCCAGTCTGGAACATTTGCTGCTGGATAGTGCAGCATTATCTAGTGCCGGCTAGAGCATAGCAGGTGGGGC